GAGAGAGAGAGGGAGAGTGAGGTGAGATCCTGTGGGTGAGTCAGGTGAGCAGACGGTGATGTCATCATCGCACACAACCGGGGCCTCTATCTGTAACACTGCTGTAATTTGCACAGTCACATTTCAGAGCAAATCATTGATTGATTAGACGAGAGCGAGCGAGAGCGGGTGAGAGTGAGCGAGAGCGGGTGAGGGGGGGGGTGAGTCAGCGGTGATGCCACTTTGCTGCAGTGAACAACAAGATCAACGATTCAAACGTATTTCTGAAGATAAACCCCGTCCAGTATCTGAGGGGTCCCATCATGACTCACAACTTTTTCAGCAACACAAACAACACCAGAGAATAACAGACAACAAACATTACAAACCATCACAGCCACAGGATGTACACACATACACATGTACACACATACACATGTACACATATACACATGTACACATATACACATGTACACATATACACTTATACACATATACAGATATACAATAATTGTTGAAAACAGCTGATGAGAAATATGTCCTGATTAGGATCTTGTCCAAACTACGACAGATATTGTCATCTTGGTTTGTAAAAAAATATTCATCCATACAACTTTTGTTTTATAAAATATCTCCGTCCACGAAAATACACAAAAACAACCACAGTCGCTCAAACTAGCCTGTCTGGCCAGTAGGTGGCGACAAATTCTATATTGATGAATATTGCGAGAGTGCTCGCAGGTGAACGTGGACATTGTTGTTTCGGATTCATGATCGTTCTTTTTAAGATTCTCTTGAAATCTGTTTTAGTGACTTTAAACTTTCATCAACTTCGTTTTTTGTTTTTTTTCAGTGATTAATAGAACATTTGGGGCGTTTGTGTGTTTTGCAGCGTCGGGGAAAGTGTTGCGTGTCCAGGATGAGATGTAACATGTGACCTGATCCTGTTCAGGCTCCTTTTCTTAAACAACCCGTTCTATTCATTTTGATTCTATTCGTGAATCGGACATTATCTCCAGAACCTTCACACAGTAAAACCAGTTAAACACTTTGAGGAGATGATCCAAGGTCATTCTGACTCATACACTGTCACTGATTATTGATTAAACAGAAAGGTCTCATATTTTCCCCAGAGTTCAGAAGAAGATCATTTTACATGTATGACGTCTTAGTGTGAAGTAGATGGGCTTAAATTACACTTCCTGTCACACAGGACATGCGTGTGCTGCCAAGTTAGAGGTTGATTCCAATAATTGAATCCACTTCCTACTTCCTTCTGCAAACACATTGGAAGGTTTGTATTTGTTGTTGATTTAATATTATTTAAAACCATTTTGAGAATCAGATGTTTCAGTTAATTTAACTCGTGTGAAAACCGACCTGCAGACACTTGAAACCTCAGATTTAAATGTTTGCTGTCACAAAACACAACATTCACACAGAATCTCATCTCAACATAAACCTTCAGAAAAATAAGAAGTAAAAGAATCCAAACTTTATTCATTCCCTTTCTTTATCGTCCACTTGGGGCAGCACAAGATCTAGGTTAAAAGCTGCAAAACCAAAACACTGAGCTAAAAGTCAGTAAAACTCAGGGACGGGAGACATTCATCATTTAATCCGCTGAATGCAGCTTTACGTTGATCTCCACAGTCTTGGATAATTATTATAAAGCTAATGAAGAAACTTTTTTGATCCTGAAATATAAATGTTTAAAACTCAAACCGTGCTCTCACAGTTAACGAGATCACGGACCGGTAACGTTCTCTTGATTCGCTGGGTTTGTAAGAGGTTGACAGACACGTGTTCAGAAGTTCACTAAAAGTTCTCGTGAGTAAAAGTAAAAGTTCCCGCTGAGGCAAAGAGGCGTTCGCTGTCAGAGAGTAAAACACAGGAAACTGCAGTGTCTCTGCTCAGATTCTGACTCAGCATAAACACAGAGAGCCAACTGGAACGGAAACTGTGGAAGTGTGTGAGACGCTGTGCGTGCATGGATGTTTTGTGTGTGAGTGTGTGTGTGTGTGTGTGTGTGTGTTTGTGTGAGTGAGCGTGCTGACGAAATGACCTGTCAAATACACAAAGATGAACCATTCACTGCTGCTTCTTAAGCAACTTTGTGCTGAGCTGTAATGCTGCGGCAGCCGTTTACTGTGCCAAGCTCATGACTGGACTCTGCAGTGCACGGCATGTTTTTATTACAGTGACAGAGGATTTTTGCTGATGTCCTGTTCAGTAAATTTCCCAAAAAACAAATGAAGTTACGTGGAAATGTTTTGGTCCTGAGCTGCTAAAAAAAATGAAAGCAGGAGTAGAATCCTCTGTTGAAGACAAAGAGATGCAGTTTAAAGCTGTGGGGGAAAATAAACTGCTTGATTTAACTTTAATTAAGATTGTTTTTTATCAAACTACTTGTCCAAGATATTTGTGCTCAGTGATTGAAGTTTGAGCAGAGGGGACACAGAGGACAGTAAAACTAATGTGACACATTTCTTAGACACAAATAATTTTATTTTCTGTACAAATATCAAGAAAGAATTAAAAAGCTTTGATAAAAGAACAAAAAAGGCCCGACCACATGTAGTAGAGTTTCATTTGGACTGACACCAAAAGACATAAGTATCAGTTTTTTAAATCAAGATCCTTGAACCTCTCTCTGAGAAATTGATATATGATATATTCCTGGATCCGCACCATAATTTAATGGATTCTTTGTTGGGTCATATCCCACCACTCCACTAAGTTTCATGGAAACGGTCGTGGAGTTTTTGTGTAATCCTGTTCACATGTGAGCAAACGCTGCTGAGGAGGTGATCAACGAGACATCCGAGTTCCAGTGATGATGGATGAGTCTAACAATCAAACAGAGTCTGCAACTGTTTCCTGTCAGTAAAAGTGTTTCAAGAGTCACAGAGAAAAGTGCGTTTCCTCTGCAAAGTGCAGCCCGAGGCGTCTGCCCGCTGATGTCACCGCAGTGAGATCCATCTGAGTCACGCCGCTCTGCCAGCCCCCCCCCCCCCCCCCCCCCCCCCCCCCCCCAGGAGGCCCAGAGCAGGCTGGGAAAAAAAAAGGAAAAACCCACAGCATACCTCTCATTCCTTCTCCCTGATCTCACACTAACGCACAGTTCACTTCTTTGTTGAGCAGCGAAATGGGACTTTTGAAGTTGCATAAACGGGCGGAAAGATTTTACAGACGTGAACTAATGGTTCAGGTGTCAAGTGTTTGAAAAGAGACCAAGACAAAACAAACCTCAGAGGATTTGAGGGAATAATGATCTTTATTATTCTTTGTCAGGTTGAGTGAAAGGATCCGAAAGACAAACAGATGGTGCTTTTCAGACACTCGTCATTGGCTCAGTTCACCGTTGTTGGTTCTGGTGCTGCAGGAGTATTTTTTCTCCACAGCTGTTTTCAGACATGAATTCTGGATCGTGTGCAAAATTGTGTCCAGACATTTTTTTCCAGAGTTTGCTGAATGAAGCAGGAGATTGTCAGGATCAAAATCTGCCGGTGCAGCTGCCTCAGCATTAACCTCAGGCTTCGTGTCACTCGGTCCAGATCTCAGCTGGAAATCAAACTGTCTCCACGCAGCTTTATTGGTTTTCTCTGCGATTCACTGGAAGCAGGTCAACGAGCGTGGGGGAAATCCGAGTTGCTTCACTTCCTGTTGAGACATGAATAAAACTCCGCAGCCACCTGTTGTCAGTCTGTGTGTGGGATTGCAGCTGCGACACAACACAGTGGCTAAAGCAGGCGATTGCTTTTGTGAGAACCACCTTAGATTCAGCTGAATAACACATTATTTACTCTGAGATCATTTTCTCTGTCCTGCAGATTGAGGTTTGGTTAATTGGAGACTCTAAACTGACCTTAAGTGTGAACGAGAGTATGAATGTTGATTTGTCCCTCAAGCCAGAGTTTCTGTTACACGCCTGAAGCTGGAGACTCTCGGGTCATTTTACAACTAAACAGAAATCCCAGCGCGTTCAGGTGGTGCAGCAGGCGGAGGCAGGACGTGATGGTTAAAAACACTGGTGTCGGACCGTATCACCAAAAACTCTCCTGACGTCTTCGTCTACATCTTCTCCTCTCGTCTCACGTGAGCTCGTTCAGACTCTATCCAGAGGTTTCACTTCAGGTGTCTGGCAGGAGAAACTCCTCAGAAGGTGACACAGACCACATTGATCTGTAGAGTGACACGCTGCATATTGAGGAGGCCAAAGACCCCAGAGCTGCTGTGGCCGAGGGTCAAGGTTCGATTTGGGGCCTGAAAGCTAAAAGAAGAAAGACTCAAACCTCTTCAGGTTGATGCGACTGACACGAAACACTGTCCAGTAAAGTTATGTGTGTTTTATCTGTGTTTTCAGTGCTTCATGACTCCATCCCATGTCTTTTCCACCTGCTGCTATTGGCTGAGCTGTTTGTCCCGTCATCGTCTCGTCCCGTCCACACCTCCTCCCTCTGTAGGATGTTTGGATCGATGATCCATCAGGTGGACAAGCTGACGGACATCTCCAAAAACCTCCATGAGCTGGTGAGGCCCCACTCTTTGTTTTTGAGAGCTTTCTATCACACTCTTCTCTGTAATGATCCTGGTTGTGTTTTTAAAGTGTATTTTAAATTTAAACATAAATGTGTTTCTCATCATTCTTCCATCAGTCGGACAACAACGAGCTCCTGAACTCTGCGGATAACAAACTTCCTGATCTTCCTCACATGCAACACTCTGCGGCACATTTTTTTAATTCACTGAAGGTAAAGTTTCTCAATCGAGGAATCAGTCTCTGATTCTGATCAATTCCACTGACTCTGTTGTAAAAAAAATGCTCTGGACGCTCCACTGACCGCTTGTCCAACGCACCCACAGATGAACGAGTCCCTCTCTGAGCTCTACCTGCTCGCTCAGGCCTTCAGGCTGCACGTCGACTGGCTGAAGACGGAAAAAGACAACTTCAGTTTACCCAGTCAGTCAGCAGAGGACGCCAGCACTCATCTGCTGCAGCTGTCCAACCTGCTCAACATGTCACTGCACCAGGTGAGTGGTCATCATCTGCAATAGATAGATAGATAGACAGATAGATAGATAGATAGATAGATAGATAGATAGATAGATAGATAGATAGATAGATAGATAGACAGATAGATAGATGGACAGATAGATAGATAGATAGATAGATAGATAGATAGATA